GACGACCTGCACTGCCCCTGGTGCACGCTGAACTGCAGGAAGCTGTACAGTCTGCTGAAACACCTCAAGCTGTCGCACTCGCGCTTCATCTTCAACTACGTGGTGAGACCGAATGTCCCAGAGCTAAAAACCTGATCTGGGTCGTACTGAACCGCCTCGGCCGGCGGTTTTCTGAACCCTGCGCTTCTTCCAGCCTCATCCCAAAGGAGCGAAGATCGAGGTTTCCATCAATAACTGCTACGACGGCTCGTACGCAGGAAACCCTCAGGACGTCCACCACCAGCCCGGCTTCGCCTTCAGCCGGAACGGCCCCGTCAAGAGGACCGTGGTCACACACGTCCTGGTCTGCAAGTAAGCCCCGCCCCCCACTTCCTGTTCACCCACTTCCTGCCGGATTCAGCGTTCACCCGCCGTCTCCGTCCCACAGACCCAGACGGACGAAGCCGAGTCTGTCCGAGTTCCTGGAGCCGGAGGACGGCGACCGGGAGCAGCACCAACGGATGTACATCAGCGGACACAACCGGCTGTACTTCCACAGCGACAGCTGCCTGCCGATGAGGGCGCAGGAGATGGAGGTGGACAGCGAGGACGAGCGCGACCCCGACTGGCTGCGGGAGAAAACCGCCAAGGTGGGTCACGCCCTGCAGCCGGCACCGCTCTGCGACTGCTGACCGGGTGAGCCCAGCTGTTCAAGAATGACGCAAAGGCGGCCCGTTCAGCAGACGCAGAGGGAGACTTTAAAAAAATAAAATAAAATAATCAGGGGAAAATTATTACAGAAATAATCTTCTCAAAAGTTAAACACAACACAAAACATTTGCCGTTTTATAACCAAGCTTTTATAACGGGTAGATAAAAGTTAATCTGGAGACTTTTACTGAAAAGCCAACTTTGCTTCACCCAAATCAACTTTTATTTAACTCGATAAATAAAAGCTGATTTCATACCAAAGTTTCTTCAAGGCCGGTCAGTTTAACGGATTTTGCTGTCCAAGAAGTTACTGCAATAATAATAATAATGTAGTTTTGAGTTACGATGGCAAAGCCTTTCACAGATCACTTTGATTTCTAATGAACATTTAACACTGGAACCGGAAAACATTTTAAATATCCAAAATAATAAACAAACACAATGAATTATGAATTCTCTGTAATTGTCCCTCTAAAAAAAGGGCTAAATGATGTCAAAGCACCAGACTGAAGACTGAAAACAATCATGAAATTGACCTTGTTTCAAGTTATCGATCAATAAAGTTTATTTGTGTTTCACGTTTCTACAACAAGGCAGTTCAAAGTGCTTTACGTCATAAAAACACAAATATAAACGCCATAAAGCCAAAACTGAGAAAACTAAAAACAAACATTACATTTTGAGGGACATCAGCAAAATCATTGATGCAGATCAAATAAGTTGATCAACGTTTCATGTATTATGTTCAAAATAAACTCTAACCAGGTGCGTTTTAGTTTGGATTTTAAGGAACTCTTTGTTGTCTAGAAGTTTGTTTCCGTTTCACCAGATTCATTTAAACATTTCCAATCCTTCTGCTGTTGGCCAAGAAAGCCAGGAAACAAACCTGTACGTGACTTTCTGCTGTGAACAGTTTGGTTTCTGTTGACTGTGTTCTAACGTTTCCAGATTGGCGTGACAAGAATCACGCCAGAGCGAGTGAAGAAAGCGTGGACGTTTCTGCTGCTGGTCTGTTAACGTCTGATTAAACCCCCGGATTCCACCGGTTACTCCTGCAATGTGCCGGAAAACTCAGGGAGACTGCAGACAGACTGCTTCTCTCTTTAAACAAAGCTATGAGGAGTCAGAGGGGAAGTGGTTGAACGAATTTAGAAATGTGAAATCAGGATGTTCGTTTTAAAGTCCTGCTTCCGGTGGAGTCCCGGGGTTACAGCCGGTTCATATGTGACCCAGAGTGGGTGGTTTATGTACTTTAACCCCAGAAACTGGAGGTAAACGTTTATGTTCTTGATTTGGTTCGTCCCAGAGACGTGTCTGACCAATCTGACGATGATCTTTTCATTTCAATCTGACCAAATTTAATCTGTCAGATCAAATTTCGACCTTTTTTATAGGAATTAAAAGAAAAAGTTCCCCGTATCGAACATGAACCCACAGGTCGTCTGACTGGTTTGCTCTTCCCTGCAGCAAATCGAGGAGTTCACCGACGTCAACGAGGGCGAGAAGGAGATCATGAAGCTGTGGAACCTCCACGTCATGAAGCACGGGTGTGTAGCGGTTCAGTTCTGCAGCAAGCCTGGTTCTGTTCTGCAGCAGGCCTGGTTCTGTTCTGCAGCAGGCCTGGTTCTGTTCTGCAGCAGGCCTGGTTCTGTTCTGCAGCAGGCCCGGTTCTGCAGCAGGCCCGGTTCTGCAGCAGGCCCGGTTCTGCAGCAGGCCCGGTTCTGTTCTGCAGCAGGCCCGGTTCTGTCTCTCTTCATTAAAGGTTGAAGGAAACGTCGGCGCCAGTCGTTTAAACCAGACCCTCTCGGTTATAAGGTGACAGTCTCCTCCTGCTGTAGCTAAGAGGTACAGACCAAACCTGAACAAACGATCCTCGATGTAAATTAGAGGTGGGCATTTATCATAAAACATTTATGGTAAGAATTTGATTTGTTGTTTGTTCAGAAACTCAGTTTAGTGATGTTTAATAAGATGATACCGAGTGTTATCTGAAAACTTATTTTTTACTGTTTTCTGTTAATTCCAGTAGAACATGACTGTTAGATTAATTGGTCTGTCTGAATTGCCCATCTAGTTTGACTGCTCTACGATTAATAACTGGACTTGTATCCATCCCTACATCCGGAACAATCCTTCCAACGTAAACGAATGTTTTCCGTTTGTTTTCTTCCAGTTTTATTTCCAACAACCAAATGAACGAGGCCTGGCTGCTGCTCACGACTGTTAGATTAATTGTTCTCTGAGTTTTTCGTCTAGTTTGTATCTGTTGGGTCATGAACTGGACTTATATTGACCCCAACGTTCTGGCTCATCCTCCCGATGTAAACGAATGTTTTCTGTTTTCCTTCCAGTTTTATCGCTGACAACCAGATGAACGAGGCCTGCCTGGTGTTCGCCGAGCAAAACGCCGCCGCCATCGTGGAGCACAGCCTGTGCCGCAACTTCCTGCTGCACCTGATCAGCATGCACGACTTCAACCTGATCAGCACGCTGACCATCGACCGCGCCATGGCCAGGCTCCGCCTCCTGCAGAGCCAGAAGACGAGGAGGGACAAAGGCCAGGAAGAGGAAGACGAAGAGGAGGAGGAGGACTGGGAGACGGCCATGGAGTCCCAGCCGGAGCCGGATCCTGATCCCGATCCAGACACGGCCGAGTTTAAGCCCTGCAGCGAGGAGAGCCGAAACGGGCAGCAGTAAGAGGAAGAGGAGGAAACCAAATGTTGAGCAGCAGAACCCTGAAATGGACAATCAAAGGCCCGAATCCGTGAAAACAGGAAGGAAGACCCAAAGCGTCAATGAGACCAGAACCTCCAGATCGTCAGGATTTTGGTTTGGATGTTTTTGGGGGTTTTTACCTCTGAGATTCAAAGGTGCTACAACTTTCCACGGAGGAAAATGCAACAACTTCAGCCTGAATCTGTGCTTCTTCAACCAAACTTTAATCTTCCAGCAGCTTATTTACAGACGTCACATGCTTTAATATTTTTGTTTTCAGTCAGCAGTTAAGGGATCAATCAATCATTTCTTAATCTTTTTTTTCCAGACGCGTTTTAAACTCGTCATGTTTTCTCTGGGTCTCGGTTTTTATCCAGTTTAAAAATCCTGCCAGAGCTTCTGACTGCAGATAAAGAAACTGATCCTAGATATGCTGAAACAGCAGATTCCTGGTTTCATCACTGGTGCTAAACGTATTTTATTCCTCAGAAACAACCTGCCGACTGTCTCACAGCGCCACCTACTGCCAGCACTCAGATTTTCAGTTTCCTTAGGACCATTTTAGCGACTGAAGCAGCCTCTGGTTTGTAGTTTGAAGCCGTTAACCTGCAGTTTCCTGTGGCTAAAACAAGGTGCTCTTTCTTCCTCTGGATGCTGCAGGTCGAACCGATTAGCTTTTGCTTTTTCTCTAAATTAGTTTGGGAACCTGGAGCAGAATTTAGTTTCCGGACCAAAGGAGATTCAGTCACTTCTCATTTCCCGTTTTGCTACTTCTTTTTTTGTTTTCTTTTCTTTTCTTTCTTTGCATCCAGAGCCTCCTTGATGAGCGCAGGCCGGACTTTGACGCTGCCTTACTTTATCTGCTCCGTCCGAACAGAACCGGCTCCCCGGTGCTGACGACCCAGAGCTGATGAGTCCGTTTGTTTGGTTTTTGACTGGATCTTTTTATTTCTTCACAACACCAGCAGCATTTTGCACAAGATGGGAGGAGCCATGTCTAATAATAATAATATTAATATTAATTAAAAAAGAAAGATAAGACTGGTCTTAAATAATGCTGTAAAAAACCAGCTTGACGATATAAACTGAGTCAAAATGGTTTTCTAATAAAGTAATAATGTGAAGAAAATCGTCTGTTTGGGTTTTAATTCTTTTCAGGTTAAATGCCTGCTTTCCTCTGAGTTGTAGTTCTTCTACTTTACCACTAGGAGGAGGTAAGAATTGACAACAGGAAATTGGAAACTTAAATATTTTCTCCTTTTGACTTTTTTTCGGTAAGGAAACTATCAGAGTGAATCTTTCAAGAAAATATTGGCACAAATGAAAGTATTTAAATATATTTCATTCACTCAATTGTTCAATCCACAAAATGTGTCCCTGCCAAACTTTTTCCTTCCACTGAACTTTCTGTCAATGTTTTGTATGTTTTCTGTTTACACTATCAAACCTAAAGTTTTCCATTCATAAACTAAGTTCGTTAGCAGTAAGCTAGCAAACTAATTGAAGTTAAAATGTAGTTTTTTTTATTTAAGATGTAAATTCCACATTTGCATGAAACCAGAAATTTATTTTCAAGTAGCACAAAATGAACAGCAGAAAGTTTTTTTATTTTTTTTATTGATCCAAAGTGTGAACACCGATGCAATGCACAGTTTTGACCACGAGGTGTCGCCATTTCACCTTCCTCCCGTACAGAGGGAAGTTTTGTTTTTCATTTCTGAGGTTCTGTTGGTTGATTTCAGGACATTTGTACCATCAACTGAACCCGTTTCCGGCTCCAGTTGTCCTCAGCGAGGATAAAGAAAACATCCACAGATAAATTAGGATTTTAGGCAACTGGAAAAAGTTCGTTTGTTGTCATCCAGCATCGAAGCCTTCCTATGGTTCAGTCCCAGACGTCCAGGATCCTCATTTAAACTGCTACATGTGAGTACAAGTACACATAAATACAACACACTTTTTTTTCTTTGACCTACAGATTGAGAAAGAGGTTTAAGAAATTCACAGAAAAAGATCAGACGGAGGTGAATGAACTACGGTGGCGATATGAACCCGGTGGTGTGAATACTGTCGGGATTGTCACAAAAGTCGTAATTCATGGATATTTTATGCTTTTAAGAACCAGTTTGGCATTTTTCTCCAACTCTATAGAGGGACAAAAAGGCAAAAGACATTTTAACGTGAAGGTTTTTGGCTCAAAAATCAGCGTCAGGTGAACGAGCTCCACAGTCTGAAATTAACACGACAGTTTCACTCCTAGATTAATAGAAAACATATTTTCTCAAAGCTCATTATTCTGGCATTCAAGATGCTTTAGAAGCAAAGATTCACTTAGTAAAAAATCTAACTGCTGCTTTTAGGTGGCAAAGAGTGTGTGCGACATTCACAGTGAGCAAAATTATTTAAAACATCCCTCGAGCTGTGAAGCTGCTTCTGTGGTAAAACTAATTAATTGCATAGATTAATATACTTTTAAAAAGTCTCAACAAAACCTGTAAACAACAACAACCCACTCAGTGAGAAGGATCTGGAATAAAATAACAGAAAAATCACCGCTGCAACTACAAAGTCATCAGGACAGACCTAATTTCTCAGATAAATCAGCATTTCTTCACGTACAATGAAACTAGATTTCTGTTCCACATAAATCTTTATCAGTTGTTTTTCTCTATTGATCAACTTTCTAAGGCGGTTCTGTGATTAAAACGAGAAGAGGAAGCGCAGAGCATCCGACTTGTTCAAATCTTGGGATTGCGTCCTTCGTTCACCACGAACACTAGAATGGAGACGCTGCGAAATTCCCGCCCTTCCCTCTGCGCATGTCAGGTCGCCTAGCAACCGTGACGTGGTTAAATCAGCATTTCTTCACGTTCAAACAATGAAACTGGATTTCGCCATTTCACCGAAGTTTTTTTCTGTTGAAGTTTTTTTTAAATGTAATCCTTTTGAATTAATTCAATTATAATTAAACATGTCTATGAAAATTACAACAGCTCAACCGGTTTGTGATTACAATTTTTGTACAGACAACTTTTAATACTAATATAAAAAATAAAAGGTAGTAAAAAAAAAAAACGTAACTTTTCTCCTACTTTGTGAACCATAAAAAAATTCATGTGAAAGTAAACTGAACTCTTCTGCTTAGTATGTCAACATAAAAAATGTAAAAATGAATTATAAAATGCATACTGAATTTCCCCACTTTGTAGGCCCCCCAAAAAATCATAAATTAAAATTTTATAATAAAAAAATAAAACTGATTGCATTGCTTTGACCTTCAAATGTGGCTTTCAAAGGACGCAGCCCCTAAATTTGGACTTTAACCTCAGGAGGAGTTCAGACTCATCTGGATAAACTGTAAAATGGAACCAAGGGAGAATAAAAACACACTTTTTCCTCTAATTCATCATGGGATCCCTCAGGGCTGATTATTAGGCCCACTACAATTCCCCCTTTCATGAGTCAGATTACCTCTCAGCAAAGGTAATAAATACGTGAGTTAAATTTCTCTTTATAGGCTCCCTGATGCATTCTTTCTTTAAATCAGATTTTAACCAGCTAAGACAAAAAGCAAATAAAATGTAAGATTACTAAAAGCTGTCACAGGGCTTCATTGCTTTCGTTTTTAAGTACTTGTTTAGAAATGTGCTTAAACTGCTGCTACAGTGAAAAGTTTTATTGAATTTCATTTGAAGGAAACCTGCAGATCCAAGCAAACATGTTTGATAGTCAGCCGCGTTGTCATGATGGTCATGATCAAAAGACAAATATTCCTTTGTTTTTTTCCCCTGAAAACTTTGTTGGATGATGGAAAGTTGCGTTGCAGGTAGCGGGGGCAATCGGAGGATTAATTTTCCTAAAACACGAGAACTTTCCAGCCAGAGTGGACGAAGGAGCAGCCGAAGAAGAGGCAGTCCACCGCCTGGTCCACCAGCCAGTCGAACACCACCTCCCGGTTCCCGGAGCCGATCGTCACTCGCAGCTTAAAATGGCCGCCCTCGCTCAGGTTGTTGTTGCTGACGGGTAGCAGATTGACTACCTCCATGTCAAAGGTCACGGCCGAGCCCACGGTGATGGCCGGAAGCTGATTGGTCATCTCTTTGCCGTTGACGAAAACGGCGCCTGGAGGGCAGAAACATGAAAGATCTGTAACTGGTGGGGGACTTTGCAGCAATAAATCTTTTATAATAAGTAAATAATATTTCCTGACTCCAGTTCTCTATAAATCAGGGTTCATACATTTTCCATTTACATATTCAAGCTAGGTTTTCAAACTTTGTCAGCAGAATTTAGCTAGAAAAGCGTTTCAATTCACCATCATATGATTTTTATAACTGTACTATCTTTACTATCTTTTTATGTTAGTTACATTCCACAACAGAGACAAGGTAAACTACAATATAACTAAATGCTGAGTTATGAAATGTCTCATCAATAACATTTAATAAGTATATTTTTACTTATTATACTTGCATAATAAGCATTAGTATTGGCGATACTGGCTCTATATTTACTTGGCATCATATTGATACCAAAATATGCCTATCAAACACCTAAACAGTGTTTAACTAATAATAGCTAGCAAAACCCCCCGTAAAACCATAATGAAAAACCCAGAACCATTGCAGCCCTGGCAGTTTTTTCTTGTAGGGTGTTTGTAAAGTGAGCGAACCGTTGGTGGAGATGCAGACAGCTTGGTCTCTCTGCAGCGACTCGTCTCCGCTCTGAGTGTCGATGCAAACTCCCAGGCTGTCCAGCCGATCCATCTGGCCAGCTGCAGAGATCCTGTAAGCACAAACAGGCTGGTTATAAAAGCTAAAAAATATTCTTTCTACCTGCCGATCATAGCTGCGCTGTAAGGGGGTGGAAACATTTTCATTAACAAAATGAATCCTTGATCTTCGACACAGAAAAATCATTAATAAACAACTCAAAGTGATTCATATTCTTTTTTTTAATCGCTCTGTGTCCGATAAGCTGCACACAAAGTTGTTGCCATAGCAACTGACTGACAACAGCCCCCTAGTGTATCAGGATTCAACACCAAAAAACACACAGAGAACAAAACATTCAATCTGTTACAGTTTTATGTTTTCAGGCTTGATGTTTATATTGTGATTATTAATTAGCGATCGCTGTGGTAGATTAGCTACAACTGCTATTAGTTAATCTGACACAGCGTTGGTAGATTAGCTAACTGAAACATCTGCTCTACAGAGGATCTGTCAACGTTGGTACTGGTCGCCTTTTTTTCTAACAGACCCAAAACACAGAATTATGCAGCACATCTACATGTTAAGATTGTCAAAGTCAAGCTAGCATAACTGACCTGATGCCCTCTTAGTCACTAGTTTTTTTTTTATTAAAATTGTTTTCCTGACCTCGTTATCTCGTTGTTGTAGTGTTGACAATTAGCGTAACGTGTACATTTAATATTTAGCATGTTATGTTGACAAGTTGGCAGCTGAAACCAATGATGGTCATCGTTAGCAAGCAGTTTTTTGCACATGTGACGTCACGCTGTAACATTTCTATAGAGCAACATTCTGCAGCGCTACGATGTGTTTGTGTGTGACGTACTTGAAGGTGAGCGTCTGGCCGCAGAAGTAGGTGGGGGCATTGGAGTACAGGACGGCGCAGCGGCTCTGGGCGGAGTCGTTACGCAGGGCGATGTTCTTCCTGCTGCTGAGGATGTAGCCCTCGGTCCCTGAGCGCCACTCTGCAGAAAAACAACAACAGATCCAACCTGGGCCTCTGGACGCTGCTGCGGTATCTAACACTCGTCTGTCAGCAGCAGGTCAGCGGCAGGTTTACTTCCCTAATCGGACCAATGGTCAGCTACGCAGCAGAACAGTTTGGGTTTCCTTCACCCAACATGTTGACTAGACTTCCTCCAGTTAGTAAAACTAAAAGCTTCAAAGCATTTTTCTCTTAATTTCTTGATTTTCAGTTTGCAGAAGAGAAGAAAACGTCACGTGTACGTTTTCCAACTGACGTATCAGGAACAACTGATCACAGTTCCTGATCAACTGTGAGAGTCGATCAGGAACGTTTTGTTTGTAAAGCGTCGTTACAGTTCAGTCACTGCTGCCCCCTGCTGGTTTAAAACTGAACTGATTTAACTGAGAAGCAGAAGAAACAAAAGAAGAATTTAAATTTGGGATTCGGATGGACTGCGCCAGACTGGCGACCTGTCCAGGATGTACCCCGCCTCTCGCCCGGAACGTTAGCTGGAGATAGGCACCAGCACCCCTCCCGACCCCACTGAGGGACAAGGGTGTTCAGAAAATGGATGGATGGATGGATTCGGATGGATGGATGATTCAGTTCAGAATCATCACAGCAGTGGCACTATAACTCAGAGCGTCTGTCCATCCTTCCCTTTCTCCAAATGAGAACCGGGTCAGAACCGGAGCCCCGTACCGTGCGGAGCCAGGGTGGTGTAGCCCGTCTGCGGGACACTCCAGGGGCTCCACTCGGTGCGGCCCTCGCCCCGGGCGCTGACCCGGAACAGGTGGTCCGAGTGCGGGTCCAGATGCAGAACCAGGAACTCGCAGTCCCGGCCGATGTAGGCGTCCTCGTACTGGCTCCCCCCGCTGCCCGACCGCCGGTACTGCAGCCGGTAATCTGCAGCAGCAAAGTCCTCATCCACCTGCAAATCAGGACGTACAGATATTAAAAAAAATAAAAATCAGTTTCACATTGAAAAGTTTTTTATTTTTCTGGAGCGTTGCCATGCCGACCTTGCACCAGCGGACCAGGATGCCGCCCGGCCGCTCCTGTAGCTCCTCTATCTGGACGGGCGGATGGGAGGAGACGGCGCCGTGGCGGGACACTTTGTCCCTCAGCAGGTTGAGGACGGAGTCGTCCAGTTGGGCCGAAACAAACGGGACGTCCACCAGAGCCGGGACCTCGGGAAGGCTGGAAAACACACAGAAATCAGCTGCAGCAATGCCGGATCGATGCCGCAGCGGCGCAGAGCGTTTTCTCCACTACCTGTCCAGCTGGATGTGCATGGCTTTCTTCGTGAAGCTGCCCAGTTTGTCCTCCTTCTCTCCCAGACCGCAGCGCAGAGCAGCTTCTCCTGCAGACAGTCATTATAATCATGAACACTTAAAAATAAACAAGCAAAACTGTCCTTCAAAAAAAGGGCTAGTTAAGACCGAAGCACCAGACTGAAGCATTTTATCATCCAGTTTTTGGTAGAAGGAGAAAAACGATAAATCATGCAAATGGAAATTACTGGGGTCGTTTCATTGTATCATGGGGTTAATTGATTGATTGATTAACTGTTTGAATCAAACCCACCCTCTCTCAGCAGCTCGTCGGCCTGCCCCACGCCGTGCTCGATGAGACTCTGGCAGTCGTCCAGAGGCTTGATGCTGTCGGCCTCGATGGCGTCGACCTCGGCCAGCAGGCCTGCCAGCCGCTCCGACAGCAAGCGGCCGGCCGCCGCCTGCAGTTCCGTGAAGTGCCTCTTGAGGGCCTCGCGAGCCTGGCCGGAGCTGCCCCGGATCTGAGGAAGAGGACGCCACATGTAGTCACATCATGGCATTTCAATCAGGCCTGGAGGGACTTTGACTAGGACATTGGAACATTTAAACCATTGAGTGAAAGCTGAAGTTGCTTCTCTAGTAAATGCTGATATTTTTCCCCACTTTGGCTCTGTGCTAAGATGTATCTAAACCAGCGATGAATCGATTAATCGTGATGAATCGTCAACTAATTTACCAATCGATTAATTATTAACTGGAGTATACAGTCTCAAAAAAGACCAATTTTTGATATACATGATACTAGAATGAAATGCAGTTTTACCAGAACAAAAGTCAAATGAGAAGAAAGTCACAATATTATTTATGTAAAGTAATGAATTTACATTCACTTAATGAATACTTTTATTGCAAAATACATATTTTAATGTATTTGTAACACAGGCATCACTATCTACAATAACTCAATTTGACTTAATATGACTTACACAACATTTATTTTCTCTTTGGGATCAATAAAGTATTTTTTAATTTCAATATGTGTAAAAAAAAAAAGGAAAAATCTGAAGAAGGGGGCAATTTTTTTATACGGTGAATTAAATAATATTTAAAAATTAAATTAATTCCATTAATTTTTCAGTAAAAGTATTTCATTTTGTATTTAGTAGTTAATAAAAAATATTCATTGCAGGGTCAGATTAATTTTTTATTTTTTTAAAATTAAGTAATTTTTATTAATTCTTCAATTGTTTTTTAAAAATTAATTTTATTATTCTAATTTTATTTCTTATTTTTATTTATCTATAATCATATCTGAATTGAACATGCAGCTAAAATCCCAGCCTGTTACACCAGTAGCTGGTCAGGAAGTCGAAGAGTAAACCATGTTTCAGTTCCTCTTGTTCACACACACACGCACACACACACACACGCACACGCATGCACACACACACACACACATAGAGAGAGCGAAGTCGGAGGGATTTCACAACGCGAGCAGAGAGACAGGAAGCGGAAGTCTGATTGACAGCAGCAGATAAAACATGGAGGCCGTGACAGAAAGTGGAAACACACACCGACTTTTTCCAGAAAACTTTGTCAGACAATGCAGGAATAGTTTTCCAAAAATGTTTGGACTCCTCCTGCGATGCAGCGCTGATAAGATTGTCCTGGATCCCAAACATCCTGCTATCTCCTGCAAGCCCCACTCTCACTGCGGGTTTGTGTTTCCTGCTGTCTATGTCATGGGAACGCTGGGAACGTTGGGACACAAACTGGGATCACATGAATCATTCGTCTGCAGGCTTCGAGGTTATCTTCTCCCTACATGTCCTCACATGCTGCTGAAACCCTTATTTTCCAGGTTTTTCCTCCAACAGCAGCAGAAAAACAAGCCAATAAAAAACTTTATTGATCCAACAGAGAAATTTAATCTTGAAAGAATTTATCTCCAGTAGCAGTCAGTGCTGCAACAAATCTGAAGAGGCCTCTGACTAAAGCTTTTGTAAACAGCTGTATCAGTTGCTAGCAGCTCTGCTAATCCACCTCCTTTGCTTGTGCTGCTTGTCTTTAAATCTCTGTCTGTCTGTACGATTAGAGACGTTGGAGTTGGGGATAAGAGACAGGTTGAACTTCTCCCTCTCTGCTCTGCTTTCTGTGAACCCTCCATTTCACCTCCTCTGGGATTTGGGGTCAAAGTTCAGGTACTATTCAAGCTTTTGAGATGAACCTAGTTGTAGATAATGCGTCGCCACGGTTACGCATCATAACAACTGTCTAAAAGTTAAAATAGAAGAATAATTCTCCAAAACAGCAACAATTTAACCAGCAAATTGATTAACCAATCAGAACAGAGCAGATCCGACTGCTGCCACCACGGTGGTGCTGTGCTACGTGCTACATGCTACATGCTAATCTGCTCCCCAGAAGCTGCTTGATACAGACTTTTTAAAGTAAAAAAAAGCGGAAACTTTTAAAATTATTTTATAAATTTTTTAAATATTTATTTAATTTAGTACATTTTTGTAATAAAAAATATGGAAAAATATATTTTTAAAATGTCTAATTTTAATTTTAAAAATAATTCTATAGATGGAGATTTTATGCAACATCAACGATAATTGATTTTAAATATTCAGACTTTTTGCATTTTCTTGCAAGTTCCACGTTTATCTGGTGATTTTGACCCAAAAACTGACTTTGCTGCACCCAGATCTGCTTATGATTAATTTATTAGAAAGAGCGATCAAAATCCTGATTTAATTGGTGTCAGAAATTATCAAATGTTGTTCCATTTTTTCCAACTGATAACAAGAATATTTGCTATATAATATAAAATGTTTGTTTTCTGCAAACATCAGGACTGGTTTGTCTTTAACCTTTGAGTTTGGAGCAGACATGCTTCTTGTTTCTCGTTTTTCTTCCTGTCATCTCTCCTCTCAGCTGCTCAGCAGAAACAGGAAATGGCTGCATTGTTTACTAGTGAGCAGCTGGACGCTAAAACTCAACAGCAGGGGAAGGAAGAGATCCAGCAGAAAACCGACTCCTGAGAAAACTCTGGGATCGGCCTGCAGGGGTCGGAACGGGTCCAGACTTTCCTTTAGCTTCACTGTGACTTTTAGTTTCACTAATCAGTTAGTTTTATTAGTTTTTAGAGTGTGTTGGCTAGCTTTTATTAGCAAAAATATAGTTTAGTTTTAGTTTAGTTAAATATTGTTTAGTTGTAGTTTAGTTTCTAATAGTTAAGTATTGCTTAGTTTTAGTTTTTATTAGTTGAATATTTTGTTTTCTCCTAATTATTTAAAATTAGGAGAATAAAAAATCAATTTCGTATTGGTTTGAAGGGCTAATAAATAGATTCATAAACACAAAACCAAAGGATGTTATGTCTATAATTTCAGTATACTTTAGTTTTAGTTTAATTGCACCATGTAGTTACAGTTACTTAATATTTCTCCATTAATTACTGCTTTTTTATTCATTTCAATTAAGGAAAATGTTTTCTGAATTTCAGTTTTTGTTAGTTTCAGCTGTGATGACGTTGGGCAGCCGGCGGCGGCTCTCACCCCAGGGCGTAAACACGGGGAGGGCGGTACCTGTTTGCGCGCCTGGTTGAGGCCCTGCAGCCGCTGCTGCAGCTCGCTGCGGTAGTTCTGCGCCGCCTCGATGCTCTCCTTCGCCTCCTGCAGCAGCAAGTCCACCTCCACAGACATCCTCCCGCCTCCTGACGGAGAACAACAGATTTTTATTAAAAACGGAAAAACAATGGAGCCAGGAGAGAGAAAATGGCAGAGCGACGTCGGTGAAAGGAGAGCAGCAAACTGTCAGCAGATCTGATGTCCAGAACAACCGGTTTCATATTCGCTGCATTTCTGACTGCATTGCTGTTGTGACTGCATGACCACAGGAACAGAGAGACAATGGAGGAGCAGAAAACTGAGACTGTTTCTACCATAATATTAAAACGGCTGGAAGATTACAACAAAACAATCACTAGAATAACAACAAAACACTGGAATAACAGCAAAACACTGGAATAACAACAACTGGAGCTCATCAATTCACTAGAACAATAAACTAAGTGGCAATGAAATACTGTAAGATGTGGACATCCATCCATCCATCCATCCAACCATAAAATCATCCATCCATCCATAAACCATCCATCCAACCATCCAACCATAAAACCATCCATCCATCCATCCATCCATCCAACCATCCATCCATCCATCCATCCATCCATCCATAAAACCATCCATCCATCATCCATCCATCCATCCATCAAACCATCAATCCGTCTATCCATCCATCCATCCATAAAACCATCCATCCATCATCCATCCATCCATCCATCAAACCATCAATCCGTCTATCCATCCATCCATCCATAAAACCATCCATCCATC